CCGTGTGCTTAGTGGGGCCCCGGCTGGGCTGGGGGCTCGACGGCTCGGTGCTGAGCCCCGGGGAGGTGGGGTTGGCTTCCAGGGACCCAGTCGCAGCTTCGTCTGGGAAGACATGCAATGAAAAGGATAGACGAGAAAGCTTAAGTCCTCTAAAATCAATGCGTGGCATTGCGCTGACTGAAGTACAATATTGATTTGTCATAGCCAGCGGTACCAGAACGTGTTATTGGCTGTATGAGAAACGCACATTAGACTTGCTTCAGTTACCTAATTGTTACATGCGCTTCATAATCTGTTTACAATGGGCTAATTTCCTGGGCATACGTGGCACCGCAGCAAGGATGCCATTGCCCGACCTCACCTGCATCGCCCTCGTCTCCCCCTCCACCCGGAGCCTTCGGAAAGCTGTACTGATCTCAGGCAGCAGAAAAGAAAGGCGCCGTACGTCTGTGCAAGGTTCCCCGCTTCACAACCCTTCAGAGCTTACCCTAACGCCTGGCAGACCTCTTACGGGTGCCATTCGCTGAGGTACGTTGAGGTAAAAGATTAATGAGTATTTCGTCCCATCATCTCTTGGGTGTTTTGAAAAGGATGGGTCGAAGCCGCCCATCCTGAAGCCAGCAGCGTTTGGCTGCCCCAGGTGGGATTTTCTGGGCAGGATTAAAGCTTTTGACCATACTCGGGCTCTTTTTTGAGACTGTGGTTTCTAAGTGCCTGCGCACTTAATACATCTGATTATTAATGCAAATACCACTGGGAATCACCGGGGGAGTGAGGGGAGTGATTACCGAACGTCTCTGGCGTTGGCTTGGCACTGCTGGTGGCTCCGGTGGCTGCGGCACTGCTGGTGCCTTTCGTTGCCGCGGCGGTGGCCGTGGGTGCGGGGGTGTCCGTCGCGCTCCCTGATGCGTTGCCTGGGGGCAGAGGGGTAGTTAGGGGCCGCTGTCCCCCCGGCCCAGCCCCCAGCCCCTGCCTGCCCCCGAGGGTCCCTGCGGGCAGGGCAGGGCAGGGAGGGCTCCAGCTGCTTTCACAAATTTACTTTCTTCTTGCCCCAAAACGGCAGGCTGCCTTCCAGCTCATAGGGGAGAAGCTCGGAGACTAAACATTTCGGTGGGGCGAGTACCAAAGTTTGGTGCAGCCCCGGCAGAGGCGCCGGGGCTCCTGGGGGAGGAGAGGCTCGTTTCTGCCCTCATCCTGCCCCATCCTCGGGCTTACCGGGGGATGCACAAAGCTCTGCACAAAGCCGGATTTCATAGTAGTTTGGGTTTACAATCCCTGGAGGAAAGACTCAGGCCTTGGAAGAGATCGCTTTGTGCGCCTCAGGAAAAATAAGTTGGATTTGCAGTTGCAGGCACAATCTCAAAGTAAATAGAAACATTCCCATTGGCCTGGGATCAGCTCTGACTCATGAGCGAAAACATCTTTGGAGGTGAAACAGAATGTTTGGAGAACGGTTTGCTGTTCTAACTTAAAGTTTATATATTGCTTCCTGATATGTTACAAGGATGACACTTCCAGCTTTTCCTTCTGAAATGAACTATATGAGTGAAAATGCATTTCTTCCCATTTCTTTTCTATTGTTAAGAGCTATTTCCACTTTTAACAAACAGCTTCAGTCTCTACTCCAGGGCTGGTGCTGTTTAAGATTCTTATCCAGACACTAAAGACAAAATCATGCAAAATACGTTGGTTCATTTGTATTTCTGCCCCGGGGGAGCCCGAGCTCCAAGAAGAGTTACTTCATCCTCCCAAACAACCCTTTGAGATGGAGCAACACTGACAGGTCCTGATCAGCCGCCTGGCACTGGTGTCAGGGCAGCATCCCATCCCATCCCATCCCATCCCATCCCATCCCATCCCATTCCGTCCTGTCCATCTTGTCCCGTCCCATCCCACCCCATCTCATCTCATCCCATCCCATCCATCCTGACCTGTCCATCCCATCCCATCCCATCCCATCCCATCCCATCCTATCCTATCCTATCCTATCCCATCCTATCCTATCCTATCCTATCCTATCCTATCCTATCCTATCCTATCCTATCCTATCCCATCCCATCCATCCTGTCCTGTCCATCCCATCCCGTTCCGTCCCATCCCATCCCATCCCATCCATCCCACTCCAGCCGGGCTGCAGCTGCTCTGGGCGCGGGAGCACCGGGGGAGGCGGGGGCCCTGCCGAGGGCTCAGCGCAGGTGTCTGGAGCTGGGATTTAGGTTCTGGCACCGCTTTTATTTAAGGGAGAAGTTTCTTCTCTCCAAGACAACTCAGTTCCAACTGGTTAAATCACCAAGTTTTTTTGATCAATTTTAACAAATCAAAAGCAGGAGGCATGAGTGCATGCCCAGAATAATGACTAGCACAAAGTTAAATCTGCGCTTTGTGTACAGCTTTGTTTTTGCATGGCCGTTAGCAGGAAACTTTACATCACCAGAACAATGTAGCGCCTGGACTTGACCTCCCCAAGTGCCACAGCCACCCAAGCACCTTTGAACTATTCCAGATGTTTGTAAACCACCAGAGGTATTTCTAATCAAAGTCTTTTCACCACTGAATATCTTAAATTGAATCCTGGATTATTGCTCAGTGTAATTTGCAAGAAGACTTGTCACATAGTATTTCTTTTTCTTCCCTTTATTGTAGTGTAGGCAAGCACTTTTATAGAAAACATGGCTAAGTTTTTTGAAACCTTAGGACTCATGAGATAAATAATGATCCAGATGTGAGCTGGATAATCCACATGGTGCTCAGCTAAAGTGAGTCATTTATTGCACCATACATTTTTACTAGCTTTGCTAAACTTTGTCAATTTGTTAGTATTAAGGGTTTGAGAGTTTAAGCCAAGCCATTTATTAGCCTCGGAGAAATCTTCGCCTGGTAGTGCTAGCACATGCAGGAGGAAAAGCATGTAGATATGTGAAAGAAAACTGTAGTTCACAGTACCTATTGTATTCACCTATCCAGCTTTTAAAAAGAAAATGCCTTTTATTTTTAAAGATATTTTCATAACGGGGCTTAGGAAGTGTCTCAGTTCAAAACAAAACAGAAAAAAGCAACAATATAAACGTTGAAGTAGTTGACTTGGTCCAACACTCATCCCCGAGCAGTAAAGCAGGACCATAGAAGGCAAAACTCTGCAGCAGGAAAGACTCAGGAAACAGGAGAAAACTTTCCATGATTTGTGCCCAACTGCACCCGCAGCAGATTAAACACGGGGGTTTCTCCCCTGCACCTCTGTCCCTGCAGGGTGGAAGGTGGAACCCACAGGGGATTCCCGAGACAGTAATTGCACCTCCTGTGCTGATACGGGGATCTCGTGGTAAAGCTTTTGCTAACTGGGTGCCTACTTCAGTGCTCTAACCCCCCCCCCCGTGCCAGGATAGTTTCGGGAACTCTTCTGTGTGTTTAACCAAGTCTTTTTCCAAGTTCCCCTGCCGCTCTAGAAGCTGCGAGGCCAAGCTACGGCGGAGCGCTGCAGGTGAGCGGGACCGCCGGTTCCAGCGGCTGCCGAAGAGGAGGACGAGGGACCGCGGGACACACGGCCCCGAAACTGCAGCAGCCCGGGCTGCGCCGGGGGCTCCCGCCTGCATTGCTCCCGCCGTCCCAGTTCCACCGCTCTCAGCCATGTGGCAGGAATTCAAGCGGGCGGAGCCCTCTTCCCTCTGGAAATATCTGATAAAAATCCCTTCCCTCCCCCTTTTCCTCCTCCCGGACAGGATATGGGTGTGGGGCCGCAGTCACGCAGGGTCCCCCCGGGCAGGGGGCTGCCGGCAGCCCC